TGGGTATTTACTAGCACAAGATCAACCCTCTGACAGGGAGAAAAAGAGAAACTATAAATCAATCCGTGTTCCTGTCAGCATCCCTTAAAATGGAGCTCGGCGTGCCAGAGCGTGTGGGCTGACGGATCGGTGCCGTGGCACTTCTGCCGACGAGCTTTAAAATAAGTACACAGCACATCACGCTAATGATAACGCATCGAGCGTTTACACCAAAGCTGGTGTGTTTTGATAAGGTTCTAGGAAACAAAAACAGCTGCCAAGAGCAGCTCGAAGAAAAGCTTAATGCGTCTCCAGGGATTATGAATGCGCACTCTCGAAAGCTTAAGACCCGGAGGGATGGGACTAAAAAAAAAAAGTGTCACCTTTACAGCAACAATACTTAAAGCAAACAATCAGCAAAAAAAAAAAGCTCATATGGTTTTACAACATTCCCAAGTTAAAAGCCTTAAATTAATTACTAGCAGAACTAATCCATCTACTACCAAAAAAAACATAGCGGAGTAATACGATCGCGTGGTTTAACCAGATTACATTTCCTGAAGAGAACCTGACTGGGCGCTTGCACAAAAACCTGAGGTACTGTTATCGCTAAACGAGAATAGTTATGAGGAGATTAACTCCATGGTGTTAAACCAAGTCAAGTCATCCTCATTTATATAGCGCTTTTAACAGTGTAGATTGTTTCAAAGTAGCTTTACAGAGATAAACATATAAGGTAACACAGATTTGGTTTGGTTTTATGGCGGTTCTTGAATAATGTTATTTCCAGCTAAAGTTAGTTTTGATTGATTCACTTCCTTTGAAATTATCATTTGTTATTAAATTAGGGACGGCTAAGACGACACCGTTCTCTCTACACAGACTTCAAACTGAACCTGTGATAAACGCTAATGCGCATTAAGAATTAATTCTATAGTTATGTGCGTTTGAATATATGTGCGCAGGTTTGTAATCCCCTACAACCCATGCCTAAACAAACTACTCGTCTTGCCTACACATTTTGATACAGAATTATATTTTATTTTATCACTTCGGGGTTGGTACGCGAACCAAAATTTCCACAACGCTTTATCTGTAGAGTGGAATAGGGATCCTCGAGTGTTAACATTAATAATTGGAGAAAGCTCCTCTTTCAGGTGGCTTTTCTGAACCGATGATACCATCATGTGCAGACATAAGCGTTACATCACACCCAGCTCTTTAAATCTGGATTATCTTGAGACGGTTTATTCACTGGCCGTCTAACAAATCCACTGAGCTGTAGTCTACAATGGCAGCTTATTCCCCACTTGAGCCAATAACATTGGGTGTGAACCCACGGTCGGCCTGTTTTCGACTCGAGCGAAGCTCCAGATGTTGGAAAACACAGTTTATGGGCAGCAAAAATCCAATATTAAACATTTGCACACACGACATAACCCTCAGAAAGGATTTCCTGGATCGCCATCCGATGGAGCTATAAACTTAGCAACTCACGTCAGTCAGAGTTACGACGTGCGCTCTGATCTCGCTGTTGGGCCAAATCCACAGTGCGATCGCCTCTATATTTAGGGTCAGAAATGCAGACTGCTGAATCAACACGGCTATAACGGATGACGGCGAGCACATGGTTTACGTGTCAACAGTAGTCATATGTTCTTTACACCATGTTCAATGTAAAACGGCATTCACAACTCACTTAACATGAGGCGCTTCTGAATGAAACTGGATAATCATTGAGAATATCTCGTAACAACGCTGAAACACGGGCAACTAAAGCACAAAGACTTTACAACAACACTCTATTACAATAATCTTGATAATTATACTAATAACCGATAAATGTCAGAATTTTAATTCTATACTATTTTGTCTAAAATAATACATAGAACACTAAAACTGAAAATCAATGGTTTTTAAATGCTAATTTCTTATTATTAGCGTTTTAAAAATGAATGATTAATAACTCAGTGAGCATTATATGACGGCAAAGATAACTAAAAAAAAAGAGGAAATTATCATTTACAGTTAACTATCCAATATTGGTCTAATATTATAATAATTGAAATATTATATAAATTAAAAAATAAATCTATATAACACTGATATAATGTGCATCCCCGGTTGAAATATTACAAGTGAAATAACACACACACTGCATAAACGTGACTAATTTTAAAACAGAACTAAAGCCAAAAGTCTAAAATAGATTTAGGCCTAGATGATTAAATCATCTCCTTAAAATATAAGGTACAACAAATAAGTGACCTTTGGCATCACAAAAGCGTGATTCTGATAAGCAGGGTCAGGGTATTGTCAGCACATTATATCAAATGCTGATTTAGTCCATGACTGGAAGTGCCTTATTAAAGGAGGTCGCTCCCCCTCGTCAAATAACTGCAGAGATGGGTTAAATTAGCCTGTGTTATTCTCAGGGCGATAACGACTGCGAGTGCTGTATGCTAGCAGCAGGTACTAGCGCTCCTGCATTCCTGCACGATCGTGCGAGGTGGGAAAACCAGCCCTGTCTGCCATCGAACGGCTCGAGCCCACAACGCCCCGCCCGCATCATGGGACGAGGAAATGTGAAACCACTTTCAAGACGGTTAAAAAGCTGGTCTGGTCCCCCTCCCTGACACTCGATAACATCCCCTCCTCACACCTCGAGATCTGGTTGTTCAGAGGCATGAGGAAGAGGTATTTCGTGTTTTGTTTGAGCTGTTGTCGATCCTCCCCCCAAGGCCCCAAGTGAACCCCCTGTGCTTGTTTAAGGAATGTACCAGAAGACAATAGTGGCAGTCAGAGGAAGCCATGAATGGAGGCCATTGGTCGCAAAGCACTACAGTGCCAACAGAAAGGTTTCTACCAGGGACAAAGCCTCGAATGGCTTTTCTAACCTCCAGAACCGAATCAAGCAAGACGAAAACTACCCTTAAGACTACATCAAAAACGTTTAATTTCAAATTAAGAATTAAACTAGAATTGCAAGCATGTAAACGTCATTACTTAGCTAACGCAATGCAAGTAACTCGAAAAATTTGAATATGGTGCAAAAGTTAATTTATTTCAGTAATTCAACTTAAAAGGTGAAACTAATATATTATATAGACTCATTACATACAAAGTGAGATATTTCAAGCCTTTATTTGTTATAATTTTGATAATTATGTCGTACAGCTTAAGAAAACCCCAAATTCAAAATTAGAATATTGTGAAAAGGTTTTCATAGCTGTAAGCCATAATCATCAAAATTATAACAAATAAAGGCTTGAAATATCTCACTTTGCATGTAATGAGTCTATATAATATATTAGTTTCACCTTTTACGTTGAATTACTGAAATAACTGAACTTTTGCACCATATTCAAATTTTTCGAGTTTCACCTGTACGACACCAATGTTAACTGTTCTTGGACAAAAAAAGCGGGAATAGATTGTCGTAATGCTTTAGGAGTTATTGCTTTCTTTAGTAGCTGCTAGCATGTTTACTGTAAATATTCTAAATAATTCAACTAACATTCTCAAGGTAGATTCACATCTTCACTTTTTTTGCACTGATCTGAAAGAGTAAAACTATAAGAGAATGATTCACACTACTGACCACGTTTTCTGAGAAAGCCATGTGTCTGAAGCGTTTCGGAAAGCATGAGCGCCATGTAAAAAATGAGATAGTGAACTGTCTGCATTAATTTACTTGCATAGAATTATCATCTTTACACAGTATGTGAATGTTTTAAATGTTTTATAGTAAATCACCTTAATAAAACACTACATACACTAATGCAACAGGCTTGGAAAAACAACAACATAAAAACAAGGTCTGTTTAAAAAGCCTTTCACCTTCATCAAGTCAAAAACCTAAAATCTTTCAAGGACATTACAAACAGATCTCCATAAATTCCTTCTAAAGAAAACCCCTTGTTGCTCTTTCCAGTAGCCTATATTTGGCTGCCTGTCACAATTGAAAGCAAGCAAGGGGTCCAAGTGTTACATTTCAATGGCTCCCCTGGGACCCACTAGGTAGGGAACACAATGCTGTGAGTATGAACAACTACTGACTGAGTCACTCGCAAAGAATTTCTCATATCTGTAGTAAGCAGATCCGCTAGTCAATCCTCTCAGTTTGTAATGCACAGGCCAGGCTTAGTAGTTAAAAGCAATGCAATACGTTTCCAGAATTGAATGCCTACGAAGACTTCTTATTTAAGATAAACACCATCCCATTTATGCATTAGTCTGCAATGATCTTTGAAGGGTTTGCAAAAGAAAAAGTGTCCCGTTCATGTGGGGATAAAGCCAAACTCTACATTCTTCTAAAGAACAATCTGTCGAGGCATGGATTCGTGTTTTAACATGAGAGATCAAGCTATAAAACTAGACCAGCAGCCAAAACTCCTTATGAACTCGGAGGCCGATAATTGAGTGCAATGAATAATTGAGAAAACCCCTACAATCAGCCAACAACTCAAACAAGAATGAGCAACAAGAACTTTGATCCGATAGAGAAATAGCATAAATATTAGAAGATATCTGACACTTAACTTGAGTTTCTACATTTGTTACCCAACAAGAGAAAGGCTCACAATATGGTTAATTGGTTAACAACAATTGGTAAGATCAACTTATTAGCATTAAAGAGGTTAAATTCTTGTATACAAGGTGGATGTTCTGGGAGTTCATATTCTTGTACCTCTGGTTATCTGGCCGCTGTCCTAAATCTCTTTTGGCAGCTCTATGCATTACTAATTGAAGATCGAGACCACTGAGCCAAGCATGTCAGTTTTCCTCTTTTTAAATTGGACTAAGGCCAAAAGGAAACAGGTTAGCACACCAGTGTATGTCAGTTACCACTAACTCTCTGGTTCATTTCTAAAGAGTTGGAACAACAGCGTTAGTGTGTTACACAATCACCATTTATAATACTCAACCAGATGCTTAATAAATGGAAACAAACCATCCAAGCAGACTAATGCAACAATGGTTTCCCAATGATAGAGAAATGAAAACACCAGTGCACTCACCTTCTCACTTTTTACTTTCTTCATGCTCCTGCAGTCATTATTTTCCACTTCTTCTGGTTCGCTCTTGATAGCCAAAGGTGTGACTATTCCACTGGTATCAAGGGTAATATTCCCTAGTTGATCAGCACCACCAAGGTCCGAATTTTGCGTCCCCTCAAATGGGGTATTGCGTGCCTGGCCTAAAGGCATAACCTGGGCCGATGGGTCCTTATCCAAGGGCACGTTCCCAACTTGCACCCCTTCGTTTTTCTCCTTCTTGCTTTTCCCAGAACCGTCCTTGTCCTTTTTTCCACTCTGAACATTACGGGAGGCCTTGTTACTTTTATCAGAGCCTTTCCCAGAAGGTAAGGTCGTGGAACCGCTTCCTGCGGTTGGCCCAGTGCCCTCGTTTTGAGTCCGTCCCTGGGCGTCCTTCTTGCCCCCATCAGGGGTTGAGGACTTGCTACTGTCCTTGGAATTCTTGCTACGCTTAGCTTTGGATTTGCTGTCCTTGATCGGTGGAGGAGGCACCGGGTTAATGAACTTAATGTTGTCAGGCAATGCCGCTACGGCGCTCGAGGCAGTAGCCATCCCGTCCCCGTCCTTGGTGCCAGACATCTCAAGCTTGTCTTTCTCTAAGTCGGCGTCGAGGTCAATAATCAGGTTTCCTACACCAATATCCCACTCATCCCCGCTGTCGTAAGTGTCCACCGCATTCGAGTCCACACCTTTCCCGCCTGCAGTGCCACTACTGAGGGACATCTTAGTGCCAGCGGCCCAAGCGTGCCACAGGGAGGTCTGACCTTCTCAGACGACTGAGGCGGTCGGGAAGCACATCTACAAATGCCTCAGGGTCCTGTTGGTTTCCCCTTCCCAGTAACCCACATTGTTGCCCTGGGGGAAGAAAAACACAATGAGAAAATATGTAAGTAAGAAGTAAAATACGACGTTTTAATGCCATTTGACAGGACACTGCTCTCATAAAACAGGTTTAGTTATGTCGACTTTACATTTTCCATATATAAAAAGGCTTAGCAAGCTTACCACTCCACATGAATTATGTAAGAATTTGTAAGTCGCTTTGGATAAGAGCGTCTGCTAAATGATTAAATGTAATTACAAATACATGCTAAGTAATTGTTTCAAACTCAGGGCCAAAAAAAAAGATACAGCTCAATCATAGTCATGCTCACCATCAGTGCACAGTCAATAATATTCAGATACTAATATTAATACTAATAATAATATTCTGTGCTCAGAAAACAGACGTTGCATCACAACACATGGATCATTGACAGGTTTACATCAAAGAACTGACTGCTGGACTCAAACATGCCACTGGTTTGGAGACTACATAGCATTGCTATTAATATCCTGACAAGTGAACATTAAATATATTAAGGATGTGCAAAACTACATATTTTTAAAACCAACTACCCATGGGATGTCTAAATGACTAGTTGGTCTTAAGGCAGCCCACTATAATTAGGCTGTTGTAGAGCAACAGTGATATATTCCTACACCAATTAGGTTATTGACACAGGACACTGTGTTTAAAACCAGCTGGATGGTCTTTGGAAATCAAGTTGAACTCATTTTAACTTGATTGGTCAACAATATAGCTTGAATGCAAACCAATGTCATGTTCGTGGCACAAGTTGAAAACAATTCTGACGCTGAAATACATGCTAACATGATTTTAGGAAGTTGACAGTGCATTGTTAACAACATACTAAGCCCACCACATCTCAGTTTAAAAAGAATCGAAAGCCAAAGATAAACTCAGTCAAAAATAGTGTTGTTGCAAAACCACTTAACTACTCAGCTTGTACACCACAGTGTCAAAATATTACATTTAAATATTCAAAACAAGGTAAGAATCAGATGTCCATGCCAGCTGGACTAGGCACAACAGATTGGACCAGAACCTAAAAGGTCTTGAATCAGTTTTAAAAAATAAATAAATGATGTTGCAAAAAGTCTTGCTAAAAACAAACAAATATCCAAATTGTGTGGGATTTTTTTTTAACAAAATCAGGGTTTTTCCTATTTTGAAAATATTTTGGTGGCTGCCAAAATGAATCTTTGTCCCGCCAAAGATTTATTTGATCATTTTATGTGACCATGTACCTGCCGTTCTGCAGTACTGGTTCCCGCTGATGGCCATCTGCTTTGAAGAAACGCTCCCGTGAGTGTTTGTGCTCTGTGAAGAGCATCAAAGGCATCATTTACAACATGTTTTTGCAGCATTGATCTCTGTAGCCAATCACAGACATAGGCCTATATGTTAAGCGTGTGAACAAAATGGCCAATCAGATGTGTTTAAATTAGGCAAAATGGCAGAGTTTTTGTTTGGATTCGCTCGTGAATCGTTTCATTAAAATCAACAAAGTACACGATGTCAATAAGAGATTCACTGCACAGCGTAGAGAGCTTCATTGATTATAACAGGAGTTTTCGCAAGAGCGCAGCTTTGTGTACCTCGACAGCTTCGGTGATTATAATGGCAGCGATCTTTGCTCTCTTTCTGTATGCAATTATATATTTTTCATGCTGCTAACTACTACACCGCAAAGTTTCTGGATTTACAACCGTATTTAAATGTACAATTGACAGTGATAACTAGGCTATAGCAATGGACGGAAACAAAAAAAATCTAATACTTAGTGTCAAATTATCTGTACATTAAGTCTTGGAGTGTAAATGCTAAATAATAGACCTATTGTGTAACTGTGTTGTTCATTTTATTAGAAACTTTTCAAATCAGTCATCCTTTTTACATAGAACTATTTTATATAAAAAAAATCTGTAAATTTATAAGAACTTGTTAAATGATCTGTCCTGACAGTGATTAATTTTTATCATGAATAAAAAGGATAAGTTAATACTACAAACTGTTTTCTGCATTTATTTGGATTTATTGTCAGTACTGGGCTCGATAAAGCGGAACAGGATCAAGATATTACACATAAATAGTCAAAACATAGTAAAAGTCAAACATTCATCAATGTATGCAGTTTACAAATTATCCACTACTATAATCTTTTTTCTGTGGACATGAATCACACAATTAACACTTTGCAAATGTCACTGATCTTTAGGACCTTTAAATAGAAACAGAAACCTTTTTAAAATGTCAAAGATGCCCATGATCTATTTTCCATTAGAGATTCTCAAGAATACTAATCAAGCACAACCAGAGACCTAGCTCTGCATTCATTCAGTCTTGAACAGTACTAGAACAGACAGGCGGTGATTAAAGGTCAAAGTCATTGCCCATAATACTCTAAACTATTCATATAAAAGACTGTTCGAACCACAAACTGGTTTAACTGCAGTACTGGCGGTTGTCTAATAAAACTAAGCGCTACTTAAGTTGAAAAGGATGAGTCCAGCTTTGAGCTGCATCTTAAATAGCCGAGGAGACAGATGGTTGAATGCGAGGACAGTAATCAGTGGTTTGCTGTAATCCGTCGGTCCACCAGGGAACATGGAGTGTGTCCTGCAGGAAGCTTTCCAAACGTCTGCTGTTGGAACCCAAGATAAGACCAACTTCCACGACCACACTCATTCATCAGTCTGTGTTTCTCATGACACTTTCAAGAGCTTTGAGAGTTATTTTAAATTATTTCTAAACAGCATTTTAGCTTATTAAAGGTGATCCCACTGGATGTTTAAATGTTTTCTACGACTCGAGTTTGATGTTTAGATTCAACTAGAAGTCAACGTAGTTTGACATCCATAAGAGTGTAACTGATGTAGTAGGGCTGCAGCTATCGATTCTTTTTGTAATCGATTAATCTAGCACTTAATCGATCGATTAATCGAGTAATCGGATTAAACATTTTTGTGTTTTTAAACAACCAAAACACATAATGCATAACGAAAATGATGTGGCTGTAAAATGATCAAGCATTTGGCTTTTATTTAAAAAAAAAAAAAAAAAGGTATTTATTCCAACTCCAACATTTGGCTCCAAAACTAAGCATATTTATTGCAATTTTTACCCATTTAGTATAAGTGCCAACAATGTTCTATGCTCAATTACTTTGGTAGCCGATTAAAATGTCTTCCCCAAAAGTACGAGTGGATTTGGAGAAGCAGGCTGGGGAATTTCATTTTTTGTAGTTGTCTGTAACTATTTGGAAGACGTGACATACAAACAAGGGATTCTTTTTTTAGGCTATACTCTCTTGCAATTGAACGTGAATACGTTTACTACTTAAAAACATCAAAGCTAAACATCATATAGTCAAACCGCATCACGACATCGCTACAAATACAGTATTGGATTAAAATCAGCGAACATCAATGTATCATAGGCTTATGGTGTGTTCACACCGAACGCAAATTTAATTATTTGCGCGAGTAGATTACATACAAAGTCAATGCAAAGACGCAAATAGACGCATCATTCGCGCCGGGCGTCGAGACTGACGCGAATGTCTTCCGCGCAAGTTGAAAAATTTGAACTCGAGCGAATGTTCAAGCGTCTAACTAGACGCGATAAACGCGTATTTGACGCTCTATCCGCGTTCGGTGTGAACACCATTAGTTTACCTTGTTTCAGCGACGCTTGGTGAAACAGCACGGAGTGGATGTTTTCGGTTCAGATGCTGAATCATTGAAGTCGTACTGTGGTGGTATGCCAGGTCTACTTTGCAGTAGACACATTGCACCTTGTTCTCTTCCTTTTTAATGATCCCAAACTTTAGACATTCTCTGCCATTTATGGACATCTTTACTCCCCGCCATCGCGCCAACTAAATTCAAAATGTATCACGCGCTATAGTATAGATCCCTGCGCGTATATTGCGCGTCATAGGAATTTAACGAGGCTTCGAGGCAGAGTTTTTGCCTCGAGGAATTTTTGTAATCGAGTTAATCAAGTAACTCGATGAATCGTTTCAGCCCTAAACTGATGCTTTTGAAAATTAGAGATGCACCGATATGAACATTTTGGCCGATACCGATAATTCTTTATCTTTCAAAAGCCGATAACGAATATTAGCCAAAAAAATCGAAATCCAAATTTTTATATTATTTTTGAGAGCCTCATCATTGTAAGCCATGTCCCAAGCACACAATTCTAATGTTCTCATTATAATTGTACGTAGTCGATATGATAGACGTGTGCACTTAACTATATTTTCCCTTTTTGGAGTGATTTCAATCATATTTCAAGCAATTCAAAACCATCATGGCAAACAGTGCACATCTGAAGCGTCTCAGCTGAAGGAAATAATCCACTATTTATCGGCTTTAATATATCGGCCATTTTCTTATCGGGCCGATAACGAAAACACCAAAAATGATCATATATCGGCCGATACCGATATGGTGGCCGATATATCGTGCATCCCTTTTTTAAAACATTGATCTGCTTGTTTGAGTGGCCAAACATGTCGACTTCTAACTCAATTAATGACGTTAGTTTTGGCTGGGACTTTTGGGAAATAGGTCACTATTTTTGCAAGAACATTTAATTCTGCTTGGGTCACTGAATAAAGAACATCTCCTTAAAAAAAAAGTCCTTATGGAATTGTCAAACATTTATAATCTTAAACCTGACAATAGAAGTATCCATGATATAATTGAATAAAACCAGGAGGTGTACAATCCACTTTCCCACAGTTAAAATGTGTAATTAGTTACTAGCTATAAAACACGTATGGCAGTGAGCCGTGAGTGTAACTTGCCTAGGGTTCTTGATGTTGCCAATAAAAAGCTTTACAAAACTCATTCATATCCCAACATGGCTGATGATGCAAGCCACTGTCACGGTTCTCTCACACAACCTAATTAGGAAGCGAATGATGAAACTGTATAAAAGGGGGTGAAAAGAAACCTGTTCTCGGTTCAAACACTGAAGCCAAAAAGACAAAGCTTTTGAT